ATCTCTAAATGAAATTGGTTTTGTTAGAAGAAAATTCATCCTTGTAAAATTATTAAAGGAACAAATTAAATCGACGTATAATGATCTTAGATAAAAATTTTAAGAAATAATTTAACTTATATAACTATCTTCACCTTTAAAACTAAGTAGTTTTATTTACATACAGATACAATCAGCAATTTCTACAAAGTTATTGATAATTATCATTTCAAGTAGGTATCTACCTAATTAAGTCTACTAAAAATTGTTTTAGATTATCCATTCAAATTAGTTCAAGTCCCGTAATATTTTGATTTAATGATAAAATTTAAACAAAAATATTTAATGGTAGCCTCCATATATCTTCATCCCGAAACAATTACCTATCATCAAAACAAAACTAAAAAAATAATTAAGGCAATCGAGCTTTTCAAATGAACTATAATTAATAATTGACAACAAAAATTGTGGCTATTTTCAATATTAATTAACACTGAGTGACAGTAATTAGAGTAACGATTATTTTAGCAACAATAACAATCGTTTAAGTGTACTATTTTTATGTTTTTCTAATTTTTATTTTTTTTTCCAGGTGGTTTAGAAAAGGTCTACTATAATGATTATGGAGGAAGCCATCAAGCTTATTACGATCATGACTATGACCATTATTAAAATAAATAAACAAATCAAAATGTACGCCAAATTGTGGTATTATTATCCTTATTTTAAATATCAAACAACAAAGTCTAAACTCCAGTGTACCGTTCTGCGTTATTCTTTTGTTAAAGTGCATGTAATGTATATAATATAATCAGGTTGTAAATGAAAATATTTGTACAAACTATATGATGTAAAATAAATTAAATATGATTAAAAAAAAAGTACCTAATAAACTCCAGAATTGAAGATTAATCTAATCGTACTTTTCCGAAGCCAATAGAATTTCGGATTATATTTATTTATGTGAGGACAATCAATTTGGGTCTAGAAGAAATCGAGGAACACTCGAGGCTATTCTAGTTTTACGGGTAACAATGGAGAAAACGATAGAAAAAAGGAAAGAGCGCGTATATAGAATTTGTAGATTTAGAAAAAGCTTTTAATAATGTTAAATGGGACAAGATGTTAAATATACTTAAAAATGTAGGGATGAGTTTCAGAGACAGAAGAGTGATACCTAGTTTGTATAAAGAGCAACAGGCAGTTGTATGGGAGGGATGCTTACTATTACCGCTACTTTTTAATCTATACATCGAAGATGCGATGATCAACATCATTAAAGATAGTACAACTGCAGGGACAGATATACAGAGGCAAAAGAATAGTATGCTTAGATTTGCAGATGGTATATTAGTATTAGCATCCAGCATTTAGCGCAGGGTAGACTCACCTTCAATAAAAAGAAGTCACTTCTATGCTCGCGATAGGTTAATTAGAAATTTGAAGAAGAGTGTTAAAGGTATATGTTTGGGGCGCAGCGCTGTACGGGTGGGAAACATAAGCAGTCAGCGCGGAGGAAAAGAAAAAGTTAGAAGTGTTGGAAGTGTGGTGTTACAGGCGAATGATGAGGATACCGTGGATAGAAACGGTTAGAAATGAAGAGGAATTGGGAAAGAATAAGAGAACAGAGGACTCTATGAAAGCAAATAAGAAGTAGTCGAAGTGGATTGGTAGGACACCTTCTCAGCCATGAAGGTCTAGTCAGAGACATATCAAAGGCATAAACAGGAGTTAAGAGGAGTAGAGGCAGACCTAGATTAGATTACTGTTCGCAAATATATAAGGTATATATAGTTTTATGGAAATGCGAAGATGAGCTCAGAGTAGGAAAGAGTGGATGTGCGTGTCCAACCAGTTCTAAGACTGACGACCTTATGATGATGATGTGATTATCCGATTTTAATAATATTAGAAACCAAGTTATTTAGAATATTTAAAGATAATTACTCTAAGACTTTTAAAATATTTTCTTCTTTATGGTCTGCGAAGGACAAAATCTACGAACACCGAAAT